AGGAGAGGAGAGGAGAGGAGAGGAGAGGAGAGGAGAGGAGAGGAGAGAGAGAGGGGAGAGAGAGGGGTTACTGTACTCGGTCGGTTCAGATGGCATCGTCTTCCAGAATTGTTCACCAGAGCCTTCACATGTTTTTTTATTTTTCCCGGGCAGTTGCTGACCCATGCTCTATGAATTCACAGGAGTCCCACGCGCATTGAGGCGACGGGTAGGCCGGGTAGGCTCTACTTCTACCAAAGAATGGTGGACGACTTCTGCATGAGCAGGGTGACAGTATAGATATAGAGCTGTTGAAGCTGTTGTATCTAAATGAAGCCCTCACGGTGCCCACCCATACCATAATCGTGCTCTTAGCGACCTTAAGACGTTTTCGTGCGATTGATGCTTCGACCGCGTCGCAGTGACCTAGGACCTAGTCTTCAACAAGACCCTTAAGGCCCCACACCCTTTTTCCCAAACAACACCCGCATACCGTGGCCCGGCACGGGGTCCGAGGAGCGGCTCGGAGATCGTGGATGAGATGGGCAACGTGGTCAGTGGCGGCCTCTCCTCCACAGGCCGAGCACGACAGGAGAATCCGGTGGCTTTTCAAAGCGGACCAAGCTTTCGACAGGAGTCAACTCGTCTTTTCGTTCCTGGGGGACATTCTCGTCCTGAAGGACTTCAACTCCGAAAAAGGAAGAAAACATGCCAGATTCGCATGACGAGCTCCAGCCCCCCAACTGTCCTTTTTCATTCGGAGAGGTTTTGCCGTTTTTTGGGCTTGTCCGAATTGGCCCAGAACGGGCCTTGCGGTAGAGAAGGCTTGAAAAGGGTAACGATGGTAGGCCACTGGCCCTTGCTTCTGATGCTTGCTCCGAGGGTCTTGTTGTTGCCATGGCCCTACTTCCAGCGAAAAGCCCGAACTTCAGCGTCGCAGCACCATTTGATTTGTTGTCCTGGCTAGCGGCTAGGGCCTATCTTGATGTGCTTTTTCTCGCGAGGCATCATGTCCGCGGGGGTGACCGAGAAGCAGTTCTGAGCGCCCATTTTCACCTCTTGACTACATGGCTGGATGCTCGTCACAATGGGTGCCATTCTTGGAACAACCCACAAACAAATGGCACCTATGCCTGGCAGATCCAGGAAATGTCAGATTGAGTGGCGTGCGACGTCCATCGCACTGGCCGCGATTTTACCCTCGAATTCTCGGGCCCATTGCTCTTGATGTGGAGCAGCATGCCGTACAGTACTCTCACTAATCCAGTCTTCTTTTGATGGAAAGGCAATGGGCCCCCAAGGGCCTAAGGGCTCAGAGGTACTCGCAAGCTCCCATTCTTCGTCCATTTTTGTCAAGCCTAGTTCTTCATCAGCCGACTCTTGGGGAAGTTTGGAGAGACTTTTCTGTCCCTTGCGTACTCGTCGCCTGTGGCCAGTGGTCCTCATGCACGGCGCCGTGTGTTCGATCGGAGATGCAGCCTTAGCCTTTGTGTTTTCATGTCGTTTTCATGGCGCGTTGGGGCGTCTCCTGGCTCACTGCGATTTCGGAGGACGGGCCCGGCCAACAGCTGCCGGGCCTGGCTCGACAGACCATCCAAGACCTGGGTTTGCAAAGGCTGCAGGTGAAGTGGTTGATTTTGGTTGATTTTTGGTCTGAGCAGGGATCGGGGCGCGCCAATTATGTATATCAAACGCCTTCAAATGCTGTACAATGCTGTGCTATTCCCACTAGAGTCACTAGACTCCTTGCCGAGAATCCTCTTCTACCAACTGACGGGGTTTGTGCCTTGTTGCGGCAGTGTAGATCCCGATATGTAGGCAAAGCGGGTACTATCTACGACTCTAGCAGCAGAAGTAGCCTGCACAGGAGCAGAAAGAGATAGTCAGAGATGTCAAAAACATTCAAAAACAAAGCTTTTGCAGAAGAAGGACGACGAAGAAGAAGAAGGAGAAGGAGAAGGAGAAGGAGAAGGAGAAGGAGAAGGAGAAGGAGGAGAGGAAGAAGAAGAAGAAGAAGAAGAAAAAGAAAAAATAAAGAATAATAAAAATAAGACTAAAAATAAGAATAAGAAGAATAATAAGAAGAACGACGACGACGACGACGACGTCGATGACGACGACGACGACGACGAAGAAGAACGACGACGAAGAGGAAGGAGAAGGAGAAGGAGGAGGGGAAGACGAGGAAGAAGAAGGACGCAAAAGAACAAGAAGTCGAAGCTGCGCTCTCCACCGTTCTCTTCACCACCAAGGGTCCGTAACAACACCTGGGTCTTGCAAGCCCGAGGCAGTCATCGGAGAAAGGACCCGAGGCAGTCACCGGCGGTTTTAGACCAAATCCGAGTGGGTGGCATGGCCCCCTTTTTGTTGTAAGTGTTGCAGCCGCCTATGGAATCACACGGCCTTTTGCTCTCAAAGCAGTGACTGATCAGTGGATTTTGGGGCTTCGAACTTCGAACCCCCCAAAAATTGGTCTGGTGGAGGGAACGGTCGAATTCTGCTCGTACTACGCACTGGTCCGCCGGAAAAGGCTTGGAACGGTGGAACTCCCGTCAACTAGTTGAGGTTTTGTGATTCTTGGGCTGAAGGTGTGAGCCCTGCAAAGATGTGCTGGTATGTGCTTTTCGACCCTTCTCAGACCCTCGGGCTCGTTTTTGCTTTTTTTCTTCTCTCCCCTCATCCGCAGGTAGACTCTGGTAGACCATCATAGACCTTCCCGCCGCCAGATTGCTCAGCCTCAGCCCCCCTCCGTCGTGACTTTTTGGGTGATTTTTGACTGCCATGGCCTTCCGCCTCGAAACGATCCAGCGTCAGGTGCGGTGCTGGGGCCGCGGAGAATCCGGTTGGGGTGTTGTTTGAACATGAATGGATTGAACCGTTGCAGCATTGGTGGGAGGAAAGGACAGGACGGCTTTTTCAAAGCGACCACGAGAGCTGACAGGTCCTGGGCGGTGCCAGCTCCATTAGTGGAGGTTTGCGCATGGTCGGCGTGTCAGAGGATGGAGACTTCGAGAAGCGCGTGCAGGAGATGAAGACCTGGATGGGCCGCTGGGACCGGTCGTGGAAGGTGGTGAGGAGTCACCCATTTTTCAGCGGCTGACCCTCCAGAAGCACAAAAAACATTTTAAAACACCAAGCTGTTGATCGAAGTCCATGCCTGGACCTTCAAAGGGGTGTCCAATGGAGATCCCTAGTGTAGGGGCTTCCATTGGTGACCCCTTTGAAGGAGCTGGTGCTGGTCATTTATCGTTCATAGATGTTCATAGTAACGATTACATGCAATAAATGCATTCTTTGGGAGGGGCAGATGATCGAAACACGAAAAAAGATGAGCAGATGATCGATGACACCCCCAAACTAGCGGCTGAAACCAGGAAACACAGTGACAACAACCAGGACCCTCTGTCGGGGTCGTGAATAAATAGACACCCTGTTGAACCTTGATCCCGACACCCCGGAAACCTCGGACAAAAGGCGTGGGTGTTTTGGGATCTCTTCTTTGATCGTTTGTCATGAGATCGGGGTGTCGCTGGCTGTTTTTTGGGGGGGACGGCTGAGGTGACTCGCTCGCCCGGCTGAGGTAGTGAGCGCTTCAAGCACACGACCAGGCCCTATAAGGTGGAGGATGTGGTGAAGCTCCAAGGACCGATGGAGCGGAATTCCGAGCCCCCTGGGCTAGTGGCGGGGTGGTGTTCAGGGAGACACTCGTCATCATCTCACATCACATGATGGCGTGAATGGCATGGTCCCTTGGATGACCCTTGTTCTCTGCAAGCAGGTGGCTTCGCACTTATATACATGTTCAGTCGGAGTGTGGTGGTCTAGTTGTCTGGACCTGATCGCCCTGTGGTGTCAATGCTGAAGCCTAGAGGGTTAGAGGACAGTCCCGGTGAGGAAAACGTGTGGGACGCATCGTTAAACTGGGCACACCCGAGATGTTAACTGAGACCTTGAGGCGGTGCATCCTTTGAGGTTCGGATGGTGGTTTTCTTCCTCACCAGCGGCGAAGGGTCGAGCTAGTGGACCTCACTCTTCAAGGCTGCTATATAATGGAAAGTGAAGCACCGTCGGAAGTTTCTCTTCTGCATGCCGTCTCTGAACACTTCTGCACAGAAGTGAACTGAATGAGGCTCTTATGTTCACTTCTGAGCACTTATGTTCTGTTGAGTCAGGGAACACTTCCATTGACTGAATGACAGCTGAGACGTGGTTTCTTCTCCAACCCTCCGCTGAAAAGGGTCGATTCTCCGTCCCCTGCCTTGGAGAGGCACCTTTCCGTTGCACTTCGCCGGTGCGAAGGTCTCCGCCGCTGGGTTTCTGTGGTTGGTGGGGTGGGAAGAGGGATGGAAGAGGAATGAAAGAGGGATCTAGCACGGAAATTGGGGATGATGGGTGAATCAAAGGGTTACCCCACCCCCTAATTGCAGGTATGGAAAGAACGAGTGAGTTGCCTTGAACAAAGTATTGGGCTCTTGATACTACTGTATAGATTCAGCATGATTCAGCCATGATGGCCTTTATATGGCATGCGGCATGTTGGATCCATCTCTCTCTGCCGTATCTCTTGGGCGGCCCCTGGCATCATCGCAAGACCATGCCCAGCCCAGCCACCTCCACTTCCAATGGAACTTCGCCAGAATCTTGGGGTTTCGGAAGTTGCAACGACGTTTGGGGTGATGCAGTTTGGAGAAGTGAAGATGAAGATCATGAGCGAGAGTGTGGCCCGGCCAACCAGAAATCCAACTCATCCAAGCTCGAGATTCTAGCAGCTTGGAGGGGTAGGGTTAGTGGTGCACCCTCAGCACCCAAGAAACATGTCCTCCCAAATGGGAACCAGCGACCCCCACCCCTACCGAGCCGAGTGGCGAAGACCCGCGCCGAGGAGAAGCTCTACAAGATGATGAGGGAGCACCAGGCCATGGGACTTCATAGGTCCCTACCAGAGTACCCAACTGGGATGGTCGAATTAGGGTTCTTCAACCTCCTGTTGCATCACGGGGCGCCGAACATCCCCCGAGGTGGATGGGTGGATGGACTTGGGTGGGGACGTGAGGTCGGTCGAGGAACAAACACCTCAGTCCACGCGGGCAGGGGCCAAGGCCCCTGCTTGTATAGAGGGCCAAGGTCATCAATGACCATGGTCAACGGAACAGGATGATTCCGGGGTTCGTGTGTTCATGCGTTTTTCTCTTGAAGGATCATTTGCATGTGCATGTCCTCACCAGGAGGTTCCATTGGTTGGCTCGCAGATTCATTGTATACAGAGATTGGTCACAGTTTGGGCTGAGTTCATGGTGGCTTACTTACTGAGTACCTTCGAAGTAGCTAGCAACTCGAAAGTGGATCCAGTCGTCGTTCCAAGTCACAACCTGCCCGTCACTGATTTGGTTCCGATGGCCTCCTCCTTGTCCCGTGTGTTCCACCTGCCTCCTTGCCTTTTGAAAGAGCACCTGGCCTCCTCCTCCGTCCGGTGAGCGGCCTAAGAGCTTGACATCCTTGAGGTGGTAGTCTCCTTAGCTTAGAACCTCCTCAGTGGAAGTCTCCTTTCACACTGAGAAGGAGTATAAGAGTGGGCATCACACCCTCGTCGGAAGGTCGCCTGACCGGGGGGCCGTTCTCCGGGTTTCTTTCGGGTTCACTTTCGATACCGCTTCCGCCCGTGCGCCTTTACTACCCGTGCGAGGCCCGGTGCGGGGTACGACCTGCAACCGTGCGAGCGAGTCGCCTCCGGCGCGAAGCCGCCGAGGCGAAGGGCACCTGCTCTCACACCTTTGGCGCCCTCGACACCGTGCAGGTGGGGAGAGGGGGTGTGGATTGGAGGACCGCCACCGGGGCCGGGTCGGAGGTTTCGCCAGCTTTTGTGCTCGACTTCCCCGTGCATCGGCTGAGACTTGCAGAAGATTGAATACCCAGTTTCAGCGTGCAAAGGTTTGGAACCAATGAGGCAGGGCCTTCACAGTGACCTTTTCAGATCCCAGAATGAGGTCACTTAGGTCCTCGATCTTGAAAAGGTCACTTGCCAATCCTGACAAGGTCACTGGAGGAGAGACATGATGAAAACACTTTGGAAATCATCACGTAAGGAAAAGCATTCCAAATACTTCAGTTCCATTAGTCATTAGTCGTGTCTGAGTGGTGATCCATGGATCAGTCCTCTCAGGTCACTCAGATGGCCAAGTACTTGACCTCCGTGTACGTGAGCGGCTGGCAGTGCTCCTCCACCGCTTCCACCTCCAACGAGCCCGGCCCTGACGTGGCCGACTACCCCTACGACACTGTGCCCAACAAGGTGTGCAACCCGCGTGCCGCTCATTCTCACAGCACTAGGTGAGACGATGAAACGCTTACGTGCATATTGAGAGGGGCAAACATGGATTTGGGAGGTGCAACGCTTGGATGAGGCAGGGCAACTGCTGGGTATTGACGCTCCCCCCAACACGCTGCACGACCCTGATGGGGTGGGTCCATTTGCGGAAAGTTGCTGGATTTCATCGAATTTTCCATTTCTAGAGCTCTTGCTGCCCCAATCTTTCCAGGAAACCACAAGTCATCCCTTCCCCTACCATCAAAAGTTCAAGGAGCAAGACCTCAACACAACCCAGTTCAGCGGTGAAAGACCTCCCGAAGAACTGGATCCACCAGGGAGTTCCAGCACCACGGATTCCGGGTGTCCATTCATAGCCCCGAAAAGGGCGTCCATGAACCACCCCGACTGGGGGTCCAGGTTAAACATGATCATGACACAACGACGTGTTCTTTTTCGACATACTTGTCCAAGCTCCTCATGGTTGCCGGAATAGGGCGCCACCAGCTGCGCCACCAGCTGCGGCCTTTTTCAGGTGGACCAGCTCTTCCGTGCTCAGCTCTTCCACGATCGCAAGCAGTATGAGGAGCGCCGCCGCATGAGCCCTGCCGACCGCGCGGCGACGCCGGCGGTGGATTACTTGACCCTTGGGAGCAAGGGAGGAGAGGGAGGGAGAGGGGGAGGGGGAGGGAGGGAGGCTGGAAGGAAGAGAAACATCGCGGCGGGTCCGCGAGCCGTTGTTTAACTTGGCACCTTGATTTGAGGGTGTCGGGTTTTTCGGGCTTGGGAAGCTGGAGGGTGTCTGGTTTCTGGGCGTCGCGATGAAGGTAGGGTCATGAGGGGAAACTATAATAGATTCCCCTGAAAGATGTATGTACACTGCACAATTTGGACCCAATTTGGACGATGGGTGCGGGGCGTGTGATGATGGAGCCTTTCTTCATCGGCTCGGGTTCCCTCATGTTTTTGAGACTACTAGGTAGGAGGTATCGGTTGGGGTCTGCCCCAAGCAGAAAAATCAGCGATCACCCGATGCATGTGTAGGGACTAGACTAAGTCTGATGACTAAAGAGGATCTCAGCCGAAAAACGTATTGTTTGAAAGACAGAGGCGGCCCCGCTTAACCTGAAGCAACTGCTTACTGTACATGTTGCTTTGATCCCCACCATCCAAAACCCCCGAGCAATCCCGGGGGTTGGGGGCCTGACTCCCTGCGGGTGGGCAGCCTTGCCTCGCTCCAAGGAACCCCATCATCGCGGACGCCGACACCGGGCACGGCGGCATCACCGCGACGATGAAGTCCCTTGGGCAGGACCCATAAGGACGAGGATCCGGATGGGACTGGAATGACCTACCATGGATGGGGGCAGTCCGGGGTAAACGTCTGTTTTCCAGATCTTCCAAATCAGATCTTCCACATCATGCAGAATTTCAGCTGTCTCGTGGGTCAGCCCAGCTGCCCAGCTGGGCAGACCTTGACTGGAAGATCGTCATGCAGTCCAGTCCGAGGGGTCCCAAGAGTCTCGGAGGCACATGGGATGTGCATGGATGCACCACACGGAATACCTTGCCGGTCTTTTTTCACGGATTCTCATGCTTTCCCCCCTCGATGTCTGAACGTCGAAGGCTGGCCAAGATGTTCATCGAGAACGGCGCGGCCGGAATCCATATTGAGGCTGGATCAGCAACTTGCTGGGATGGCGAGTGTTGTGGTGGTGTCGTGGAGGGAGACACAAACCCCCCCCGGAACGAACGACGTGGACAGTGGCTCGTTAAAAATGGCCATGTCCCCAATACATACAGGGGGGTTTCCACTTCCCATGTGATTTCGAGGGATATGCTACTCGCACCTTTCCAAAAGGTTCGTTCTTTGGACCTTGGCACTCGGAAAAAGGTCGGTTTCTTTCTTTTGAGGCGCTGAAGTGGAATATTGGACGTGGAAAAGCCGTTGATGAACCGCCACAAGACATATAGTTACAGGTTGTGTCGTTAGTCCGGTAGGCTAATTTGGGTGGTGAATTCATGAACCTCGTGGATGCGGCGCGGCCATCTGCAGTGCATATATCATTGAACAATGCAGCGGACTCCCGGGGAGGGTGGTGGGAGCATGCAACACACATTCCAAGACCTGGAACAATGTGGCTTCTCACCAAGCATCTTTAGATTCGGTCTTCAGACTTCAGACCCGGAAAAGCACGTGCCTTTCCCAACACATTGACTGGTGCTCCTGATCCAGCTCCTGATCGAGCTCACGCGAGGATGGCACGTGACACGACAAATCTCGTGCCAGGACCAGAAGCCAGGCACCAAGAAGTGTGGACACATGGGCGGCAAGGTCTTGGTGTCCACCCAGGAGCTGCTCTTGTCACAACGCGCGCAGGAAAGAACACGTTGGAACGGGGATGGATATGGAAAGCCACCCAGTGGCACTTGCCCCTGGACCACTAATGGGTTCGGGCCGTTCAAGAACGTCCGGTCCATGGGGCGTGGCCTCAAATAGGTATAGATTTTAAATAGATTTTGCATTGACCCCATGCGCTCACCCTTCGAGAGATTAGGATGATTAGCCAGCGAAATGTGTGATAGATGCCTATGGAGGGGCAGAGACATGTTTTGGGGATATATACACGCTCCTTGAAATACTGATGGAAGTGGACTTCGCCATCCGCATAACCAATGTGGCCTTCACGCCCGAACGACTAGCCGCCTAGCCGAGCCGAAACCGTCGTCACCTGTCCCATGGTCCCATGTCCGAGGTCCCAGGACCTCTGACGTTTGGGTCGGCGCACGGAGTCAAGTGTCGATGTTCCATATATGTTCCATGGGCGCACTCCGTGCGGCGCGAATGTTGTGGCAAAACCGACACGAAATTCTGTGAATTCACGAAAGCGCCCAAGGGGGCGGCGTGGGACCCCGCCTCGGTGCTGGTCGCGTGCCGCGGCGTCCGCCGCAGTGAGGAGCACATCCAAAGGCTCATCGCGATCCGCCTCCAGGCACAAGCACCGGACCGGGGCAAGTGTCCATTCTGTGATGTAGACCCTAGAAGTACACCTGGACCCCCAGTCGGGGTGGTTCATGATGGTTCATGGACACTCCTTGACCTTAGAGGGACGAGAAAATGGACACTCTTTTCGTGGTGCTGGCACATATCATCGCCATGTACACATTTCTATTGCTTTTTGCTGTATATATATATATACATTCTGTTCTTCAAAGCTGGCACTGTGAGGATCCATGGCAGGCGGGCGTGTTGAGAGACCCTTGGCCTAGGTAAGCTCGGAGCTCCGAACTTCTTTCCTGTTTTTCACCCCACTCGCCGCTGGGTGGGGACGAGCGCAGGGACTGACTGGTGGGTCGGTGCGGCATGGACCGGAGAAACCATCCCCCAGGCGGACGTGCTGAACAGCCCGCTGGTGCTGGTGGCGCGCACAGACGGGGAGGCGGCCACCATGATCGACTCCAACATCGACGCCATTGACCATCCTCACATCAAAGGTGCCACTGTCCCTGGGCGAAAGGAGGCTGTTGGGTGTCGGCGCTGGGGAGCTGATGAACGCTGACGTCCTGTAACCGGGCGACACGAAGGCTGATCCCATGCTGATCCCACGCAACCTTGAGGTGAAGGGCGTTGAGACCCTTTACGAGGCAGGACGGGATGGATGGGCGGATGTATCCGGGCCATGTGTTGCTTGGTCATTCCCAGCATCACTGTTGGGGGTCCAAATGTACCACGGGTTTGCCAGAATGGTGGAATTGCTGGAGAAATGGAAGACCCAGATTCTGAGGTGGTTCGGGAAGACTGCCGAAAGACAGCTTGTTATATTTGTCCCTAGGGGTCCAGGTACCTTCTCAGAAGGTATAATTTTATTCATATAAAACTTGCACCAGTACTTGCACCCTCCTGATACCCTGCAAATAACAGTGTAAACCCGAAACTGACCCAGGCACAGCCGCACAGCTGGATCCATCCCTAGGAAGCGCTCAAGGTGTGACCGGTGGCCGACTCCGGGCTCCCTCTCCGGGCTCCTCTGAGAAATCCGCTCCCTCTCGCACCGCACGGCGGGGCGGTTGGGCGGTTTTTCACTCACTCCAAGTCCATCTCTCTCTCTCTCTCTATGGGTGACGTAGTACTAGTAGTGGGTCAAGTCATGTCAAGTCTAATGTAGCGGGACGGTGGGGGCACCTGTTTGCCCAAGATGGGGCAATCCAATCATCAGTGGGTCCCTACCTTCGCACGGCGCCCTTTGCTCAGCTACTTCGGCTCCCCAGTGCAGGCTGCAGTGGAGGCAGCTCAGAGACTAAGCCTAAGAAGTCCTGACCAAAAGCAAGTACTCAGTCCCTAGACCCGTCCCCTACGACGAGGTCGGAGCCGACCTCCGAAGCCGTTGCCTTGGACTTCCCTGCCGGCTTCACCCGCCCGCGGCTTCACCCGATCCGTGTTAGCCATGCTGGCGGACGAGCGGTCCGAGCTCCGGCTGTTGTTGGAGCAGATGCGCTTGGAGCAGCGCGAGGCGATGCAAGGCATTTTACAGGAGCCGAAGCCTGGGGAAAAGCGCTTCAGGATAGACTTTGTAGTTATAAAAATATGTTTTGTGGTAATCAGGCACCAGGCCTACAATGGTCACGCCCAGGATGTCATCCAACACCCTACCACATATCCCCACAAAGTATCAAATCGAAGCCACAACTGCAACTCATCTCCGCAACCGGTCACGGATGCTCTCAGTCCATCTTTGCAAAACACAAGCCAGTGATTTTTTGGACGCCTTTCTGGCTTGGCCTTAGCAGGCCACTTAGGCAGCCGGGATCGAGTGGCGGACCCCGGATCCAGCGCAGAACACCCACGTCAGGAGCTGCAGAGCTGGTCCTCGCGGAACCCTGCGAGCGGCGCACAGGAGAAGCCGGGCGCCTTCGCTTCACTGCGGCGGGCTCGGTCAGAGAGCCGGCTGCACAGCGTGCCGCAGCGGGTGCCTGCATTGGAGGTGGGCCGCGAGCGTGGAGCGCGCACTCTTGGCATCTCCGAAGCTTTTGGCAGTTGTAGCTGCCAAGTTACTGTAGTAGTTAGTACTTTGATCACTGATGTTGACCAAAGATCCCAAGAACAGCGTCTAAGCCTCTGGGAGCCGGCCACACCTGGCGACTTGAGCTAAGCCCCTTCCGAACGCCAGTGTTCAAACTGTCTGGAATTTGCCGAGGCCGTTGCGGAATTTGAAGGGGTTTCCCTAAAATTCCCTGGATTGATTACCCGGTTTGGTTCTTACTTTTTTGGAGCGTTTGAGCGAGAGGTTCATTAAAACACATCTGAGAAATTCAATCTTCTCAGTCTTCTCACCAGCTTCTTCAACCGTTACCTTTTGAGGGTTCTTATAAGTTCTTCAGTGACCCTTGGGAGGCTTATATATATATATATATGCGACCTTGTTTGCATGTACAGCCCATAAATACTCCGCTAGAGTACTGCAGACACGTGACTCATGACGTGTTTTGGCTCAAGGTGAAAAGGCGTTCCGAAACGTCGAAACTTCATTTTCATGGTAGCGAAAGGGTCCGGTGAGAGTGACAGGGACCGAGCACTCCGCCTAAAGGAAGAGAGACACAGTAAAGTAGAAAGCTCCAAAGAAGAGGAGCCGGGACCCTCGGGAGCGGCAGTTCCTGCCGCCCCGAGCGGAGAAGGAGAAGAAAGGAAAGAAAAAGAGGAGGAGGAGAAAGAGCCTGTGCCAGCCACATCAGCGGCGGATTCAGCCGCAAGCACCACTCCAGCGGTTGAGAAGACCGCAGAAACAACTTCAGCGGTTGAAAGGACCGCAGAAACAAAAGAAGAGGGGCCGGAGATCGGACGAATCGTCCGTAGCGGAAAAGGTGCGAGAGCAGCGCCTTCGGGGTTGAGATTAAGGAACCATGGCTTTAGAGCAACAGGTCCAACAGTTGTCTGATATGGTTTTGCAACTTCAGCAAAACCAGGCACGTTTGGAACAAGAGAACCAGGTATTGAGAGAATCCCAAGGTGGGGTATCGATGTTGGCTTCAGCAGTAGGAGAACTGGCAAAGAGCCTTGAGAAAAAGGAGGATAGACGAAAGTCCCAAATACTTATGGACACCAAGGGTTTGGGACGCCCCGAGAGCTTTGGAAATGTTGAAGGGGAATTCCGAAAGTGGGCCAGGAGTATCGACAACCTGTTCATAACTACCTTTGGGAGAGAGTTCATTGAAATCCTTGAGTACATTTTGGAACAGGAAGACACGATTGAAATGACCAAAATGGAAGAAGAGTTTGGGTCTGGCACCGTAACTGACATCGGTGACCTAGAAGACAAAGCAGACCAAATTCATCGTGTGCTCCTGACTCTCACTTCCGGCGAAACGGAAGATCTCATGGTAGGAGCCTCAAATGGGTTCGAGGCATACCGAAGAGTCCACCGACGATGGGATCCCCGTACTTCGGGAAGAAAGCGAAACATCCTCAGGGCTATCCTCCAGCCAGAGCGGGTCAAAACTTGGACCGCCGTGAGGCCAGCCATCGAACAGCTGGAAGAGCTGATCAGGAGGTACGAAGCCCGGCGAAACGCATCAGGGGCTAGAGAGACACTATCGGACGACATCAAGTCCGCTTCATTGGAGATGTTGGTACCCCCAGATTTGGAGAAACATCTTTTGTTGAACAAGAGTAGATTGACAACCTATTCGTTGATCAAACAGGAGATTGAACTTGTCATTGAATCATCTCTCACATCAAAATCATCTGTTCCAAAACCAGGTTCATCGAGTTCTAGTCATCAAGGACCTCAACCCATGGACGTCGATTCGATCGGACAATGGATTGCAAGCCTAGTCAAAGGAAAAGGTAAAGGAAAAGGCAAACAGGTCAAAGGTGATGGAAAGAAAGGCTCAAGTAAAGGAGATTCAAGTAAAGGCTCAAATACGGCTCAAGATATCACCTGCTACAATTGTGGTAAGAAGGGACACAGAGCGGCCGATTGCTGGAGCAAGAAACGGCCGGATGGAAAAGGCGATAAATGGTCAGGTTCAGGCAAAGGAGACAAGAGTGGCAAAGGTGGCAAAGGCAGTAAAGGCAAAGGTGGAAAAGGCGGCGAAGGTAAAGCCGCAGGAAGTATGGAAGAGATGGATGATCCGGATGATGGCATTGAGCCAGCTCCGGAAGCAGATGTCGGAATGCTCATGGCAGACTTGAGTGGAGTTGGAATAGCGGATGCTTCATCCGCCGAAGAATGGATGAAGTTTAACCTGGACACTGGAGCAGCCCAGACAGCCATCCCGAATGGCTGGGAGGACCGAGTGGTTGTCAGTGGAGGCAACGGGGTTGTTTTCAAGACTGCATCAGGAGAGTTGGTGCCCAGTCAGGGCATTGGAACCTTTGAGGGGTTCGACGAGGGCGGCAACAAATGCCGTGTGAAAGGCTCAATGGCCGATGTTCACAAGCCATTGATTTCAGCATCCAAGTGCTTAGGCTTTGGAAGGATTGCAGTTCTTGATGTGAATGGCGGAAGCTTGATTCCGCAAGGGTCCAAAGTTGGAAAGGCTGTTCAGGCGATCCTGGAGAAAGCGAACGCTGCGGAGCAGCGGAGTTGGATCCCTGTGTATCAAGAGCAGGGAGTGTACAACTTCTACTTGACAAAGCCAGTGTATAAACCGACCAAGGAATGCTGTGGCATTGCAAGAGTTGAACGCCGCAGGAGAAAGAGGAGATGCCTCTATGGATTCAGGCCGACCTGGTCCAGAGGGGCGAGAAGAGGATGATGAGTTGGAATTAGTTGATGAGGTTGAGAAACCCATCCAGATAAGAGCACCGGAGGACCCAACTCCGGCTGAGATCGAAGAGCACGAGGCGACAGGCCATGTGCAGTATCGAAGTTGGTGCCGGCATTGCATTGCCGGACGGGCTGTAGGACAGCCGCATCGGACGAGGTCCGAGGAACAGAAGGCAAAGAGCCTTGTGCCCACAGTGGCACTGGACTATACGTTCATGTCACGGGGCGGTGTGGAGGACGAGCGAGTAAAGCCGATCTTCGTGGATTCGAAGGGAGCAACGCCGTATGCAGTGAAGTTCGGGGCGAACTTCTTGAAGAACTTGGGACACCGCAAGGTGGTTCTCAAGTCGGATGGTGAGCCATCCGTGGTAGCTTTGAAAGAAGCGGCAGCGAAAGAAACCGGCATAGACTGGGTTTCGGAAGAGTCGCCAGTAGGAGACCATCAAGCGAATGGTCTGGCAGAGAACGCCTGCAAGGAGATCAAACGTCAAGTACGAGTCCTCCGCAGCGCGTTGGAAGAGAAGCTCGGCAAAGAGCTCAAAGATGATGACCCTGCATTGGCATGGCTGCCAAGGCAGGCAGGAGACCTGTTGAGCAGGTACAAGAAAGGTCAAGATGGCAGAACGCCTGAGGCCAGAAGATGTGGAAAGCAGTGGCGGAAGCCCGCCATAGCTTTTGGCGAACGCCTATACTTTAGAGAAGTAGGCGAGGGAGTTCGCATCCTGAAAGAAGGACGCTATGTAGGGCACCACGGCCGAACAGGATCCATTTTGGTGATGACGGCCGATGGCGTGCGAAGAGGCACAGGAATCCGGCGGCTGAGTTCAGCACCGCTGGGACCCAAGCGATTGGGACCTTTTGCGGGGCTTACCGTGGGAGCACTCCGCCGCAAGGCCTGCCGGTGAGCAGTTGATGCTCGAAGAACGTCTTGTGGTACCACCTCCCAAGGAGGAACGAGTGGCACCACCACAGCAGAGGCGAGTGTACATCAGGAGAGAGGATGTGCGCAAGCATGGAGCCACAGAAGGCTGCCCAGGATGCAAGTGCATCTTGGAAGACAAGAGGACGACCTTGCCGCACACAGAGGCGTGCAGAGCAAGGATCACCGAAGCGATGGAAAAGGATGAAGCTGGGCAAGCGAGACTTGAAGCCCATGCAAAGAAGAGGAAAGAACGGCAACAGCTTGACACTGTGAAGCCGAAAGTCGTGGCCGACCAGGACACCGACATCACGGCCGAAGACGCGGCCGGAGAACCAGAGAAGAAAGAAGAAGCGAAGAGCGCAGGGTCGGGAAGCCCGAAGACCTATCCCGATGACCCGAGAGAGAGATACGAAATGAAGAGACAAGCAGCCGAGATGGCAAAGAAGCCAGTGGCGAAAGCCAAGGTAGCAACAGAGCCCAAGAAGAGAACAGGAGAACCCGGGGCAAAGGTCAAGCCGAATCCAGTCCAAGGAACAAAGAGGACGGCAGAGACTGCCGTAGAAGACCTTGATCCCAGGGTGGAAGAGAGTCCAAAGAAAACTGAGACGTTTTCGTATGTTCCAGAAACACCACCAGCAGGGTGGAAGCCAGATGCAGCAAGCTTGGTAAAAGAGAAGGAGATCGCAAAGCAGCATCTGAAGAAGATCATTCAAGGAACCTATGAGGCGAATGGCATCGAGATCACTGAGCAAGAGATCGGAGACATCGCGCATTTGAGTATGCAGATGTCAGCAGTAGATGTCATGGAAATCTACTCGCCCAAGAGGTTCACCGCGCTTGCAGAGCGGTACAAGTTGCGACCGGGCTTCGCGGTCGACTTGAATGAAATGAAAAGTGATGGAACATACTGGGACTTGAACAAGTCAGAGGATGTTCAAGAGGTGCACGACATCCTAGAGAGGGACGAGCCTGCTCTCTTAACTGGTTCACCTCCGTGCCATATGTTTTCGCAGCTCCAGAATCTGAACTGGAGAAACATGGCACCGGATGTCAGGAGGAGGAAAATGGACGAAGCCGTCCATCACCTTCATACGAGCGTAGAGCTGTATGTCAAGCAGCATCGCTCTGGACGAAAATTCCTCCATGAGGCACCATGGGCCGCAACCAGTTGGAAGGATGAGAAGGTTGAGGCCTTAGCAAAAGAAGATGGAGTGTTTGTGGTGAAAGGTCCAATGTGCAGGTGGCAGATGATGGCCACCGACCGAAGAGGACTCCAAGGCACCGGCTATGTGAGAAAGGAGACCGGTTGGATGACCAACGATGAAGGGTTGGCTCGAGTCCTGCAAGGAGTCTGCTCGAATGAATCGGGCAAAGGACCATGGCACCGACACATCCATCTGATCGGAGGCATTGCTAGGCAGGCAGCGGTATACCCACCGCAGCTTGTGAAAGCAGTGCTGAGGAGCCTGCGTGACACACTAGCAGAGAAAGGTGAGTTGAACACCTTCGATCTGTTCGCAGCAGGCCCAGTTCCAGAGATGCCTCTGATGGACCCAGAGTTCGAAGAAGTCTACATGGGTGATGTTAACGGCGGCATTTTGCCAGCCGAGGTAAAGGAGGCAAGACGCCTTGAAATGGACTATTTGAAAGAGAAACATGGCGTTTATGTGCCTAGGCCGAGAGCCGAGTGTTTTGAGGAAACGGGGAAGCCCCCGATTCCAGTGAGGTGGTTGGACACCAACAAGGGAGATCCAACAAACCCGAACTACAGGAGCCGATTAGTTGTGCGTGAGATAAAGGCAAGAAAGACCAAAGAAGAACAATTGCCAGCCAACTTGCTTTTCAGCAGCACGCCCTCATTGGAGGCGATGAGACTGCTGTGCTCGTTGTGGGCAACAAAGAGAAAGTCTTGCCACAACCAGCCGCTGAAGCTGGGCTTGTGGGACATCTCACGAGCACACTTTTATGGAACTCCGAAGAGAAAGATCTACATAGAGCTGCCGCCTGAGGACGAAGCCAGCAAAGATGGACAAACCTGTGGACTTCTCGTGAAGTCGATGTATGGAACACAGGACGCTCCAAATATCTGGCAGACGCACTACACAGAGACTCTGCAAAAGGCTGGTTTCCGCAGAGGACTGTCAAATGCGTCAGTCTTCTACCAAGAAGCTTGGGATGTCAGAGTGATGGTGCATGGAGATGACTTCCTAGCACTTGGAGACGCTCAACACTTGGAGAAGCTCAGCCAAGTCCTCAAAGATGCCTATGAGCTGAAATGTCTCGGAATTCTTGGAGACGAGGATGGAGACCGAACAGAAGCCCATTTTCTGAATCGGTTGATCCGAGTCGAAAAGAAGAACGGCAAAGGATCGATCGTGATCGAAGCCGATCGGAGACATTTTGATCTTCTGACCCAGGCATTTGGCTTGGAAAAGGCAAATGGTGTGGAGTCACCAGATGTCAAGAAGTCGGCAGAACAGCAGATGCTGGAAAGCCGCAGTCCGCTGCTTGATAAGAGCGAGGCATCGAAGTATTGTTCAGCTACGATGCGTGCTGCGTATCTGTCCCAAGATCGGCTCGATATTGGACACGCAGTCAAGAACCTTGCTCGAGGTATGGTGTCGCCAACAGAAGCCAAACTTGCAGACTTGAAACGTCTCATCAGGTACTTGAAGAAATACCCTGATGTTGGTCAATGTTTTGGCTCACAGCAGGCACCCTCAAGGCTGAGGGTCCAGGTCGACGCTGACCATGGTGGAGATGACACGCAAAAGCACGACTGGCATGGTCGCCATTTACGGTACACACGTGCTGAAACACAGCAGTAACATCCAATCCACCATAGCCCTTTCCACAGGCGAGAGCGAATACTACGCACTCGTGAAGGGCGGTCCGCAGATCTTGGTTTGGATTTGGAAGTCACCATAGAAGGCGATTCCAACGCAGCCAAAGGAACTGTCAACCGAGTGGGTTTGGGTAAAGCCAGACACATCCAAACTCGTTACCTATGGTTGCAAGAAAGGGTTGCCGAAGGCCACTTGAAAGTGCACCACGTTCCAGGTGTTAAGAACAAAGCCGATGTGTTGACCAAATCGGTCCCTGGAGTGCAACTTCGCAAAAGCATGGAGGACCTGCAGTATGCATTCCTCAGCAAGCGAAGCCAAGGACAGTTGGATGTTTTGGAGTAAGGTCCCTGGCCAAGCTCCACTACCACAACTGAAAGTGGCTCAGCAGCGGGAAGTTTCACATACTTTCTTTAAGCTTGCGCAGCAGTACAGTGCTTTGCAAGAGGAGGAGTGTTTGCATGTACAGCCCATAAATACTCCGCTAGAGTACTGCAGACACGTGACTCATGACGTGTTTTGGCTCAAGGTGAAAAGGCGTTCCGAAACGTCGAAACTTCATTTTCAGACCTCAAACCAGGATATCAAGTTGGGTCACTTCGAAGAATCCAGGCACATCTGCCATCATTACACCTTCACATCCTCATCATCTCTCACGTCGTCCCATCTCACTTCTTTCTTCCGAACATCTCTCCTAGCCCTCGGGGCCTGGTCTAGTGCGACTGCCCAGGCGTGCTAGTTGGTATTTTCGATATCGATTTCTGGACATCCATAGGGTCGAAGCATTTTTCAGTGCAGGAGATGCAGCAAAAGGTCAAGGCTGGCCTGCGCCTCGGACGGCGCTGACGGTCAAGCCGGGGTGCTTGAGTCATCACAGCTCACGGTCGATTTTCCTTGGCAAAAGGCGATGTTTTGGGGATTTCGTAGAGGTGGGGAATTGATGGTGCTGAATCATTCCAAAAGGGTTTTGACCCAAATGAGAATGGAGAGCGGGTGATTTTCAGGCGGGTGGCAGAGCTGCGGCTCGATCTCTTCAGCCAAAACCTGGCTGAGCCCACCCAGGCTCAGTTCAGCGCATTGTTTTGGACGAACCAGCATATGGCTGAAACATTTGGTGAGCTGTTTCAAGCATTTGGGACAATGCTTCACACAAAAGGCGTGGTCCCAACACACCCCTATATAGATACGCATCATACCATCAGACTCCCCATTTAAGTCCGGCCAGACCTAAATGAGCACCGTCCGGTGAGTCGCTTTTTTCCCGGTTGGAACCCGAAACCCTTGACCTCTGAAAGTGAACAGATCCTTCCAGAATGTGGTCCCCAAAGAGTGAGTGAGAGAGAGAGAGAAAGAGAGAGAGATAAACCACGATTTCCAAGATATACTTTTCTATTTTTTCCCGAATGCGTAGCGAAGGGTTCTCGTTTAACTCTGGGGGTCTGGGGGTAGAGTCTTGTTCGCGATCCGTTGTTTCTATGTTCGCAACCGTCCGCAACCGTCCGCAACCGTCCGCAACCGTCCGCAACCGTTCGCAACCGTTCGCAACCGTTCGCAACCGTTCGCAGTAGGACGCTAAGGCGCTGCCATTGGGGGAAGCTTTTGCAAGTGACTTTTCATGGATGTGTCACGTGTCAGTTTGCGACGCTATTCCATTGTGATTTGCATGAAAATGACATGTCGCGCAAGAAGCGTGATGCATTTCGCTGCACAGGCGCAGTGGTTTGAGAGATCCGCAGTTTACTGCGCAGTTCCATTGGGATTAGCGTTTGGAGAGTCGTGTTTTTGGGGTGTTGGATGTGGCCGTGCCATTGGGATTTGCATTTCAGGGTGTGGCCTCGAAGCTCTGTTTTCGTGACAAGTCCCAGCTGAAATGGCGATTTTGGTGGATGGGAGTGTGCTCAGAACGGGTCGAAATCATTCTAAACTTGTGGTGTGGTGCAAATTTTGTTGAAGCTCGCATGAGATGATATTGTCACTTTTCGTGGCAGGCGCAGTACTTTGTGCGGGTTTTGAGGCATGGAAGTGTGATTTTCGTGGCAGGCGCAAGGAATCGTGAGGTTGCGAGGTGTGACGGAGGTGACATTGCGTGGCAGGCGCAGTACTTTGTGCGCGTTAGACGTGTGGACGCGGAAAGATGCGTGGCAGGCGCAGGGAATCGTGAGGTTGTGAGTTGTGGTAGAGGTGACTGTCGTTGTCTCATTGGGATTGGCGTGTGAGCGGGTGTTGTTTGGAGGGGCTGGAATCGCGAAACTGCTTGGCAAGGCTGCGTGATGTGTGTGCTCCGATGGGTGTTTCCGCTTGACTTTTGGAGGAAGTTTCGTACGAAACGCTCGTTTTGGAGACTTTGACACGTGAGTTTTTGAGGAAGTCTCGTACGAAACGCTCGTTTTGGAGAGTTGACACGTGACTTTTGGAGGAAGTCTCGTACGAAACGCTCGTTTTGGAGACTTGACGTGTGACTTTTGGAGGAAGTCTCGTACGAAACGCTCCGTTTTGGAGACTTGACGCGTGACTTTAGGAGGAAGTCTCGTACGAAACGCTCGTCTTGCAGCCTCGAAGCGTGACTTTTGGAGGAAGTCTCGTACGAAACGCTCGCGTGACTGCTTCTAGTGTGTGGGCAGACCGTGTCGCGACGCGAGTGTCCCACAAGAGTGTCCCACAAGAGTGTTCCACAAGAGTGTCCCGCAACCGTGTCCCACAAGAGTGTCTCACAAGAGTGTCCCTTAAGAGTGTCCCACAAGAGTGTCCTATAAGAGTGCCCCACAAGAGTGTCCTACAAGAGTGTCCCACAAGAGTTTCCTACAAGAGTGTCACACAAGAGTGTCCCACAAGAGTGTCCCACAAGAGTGTCCTACAAGAGTGTCCTACAAGAGTGTCCCACAAGAGTGCCCTGTAAGAGTGACCCACAAGAGTGTCCTACAAGAGTGTCTCGCAAGAGAGTGTCCCATAAGAGTGACACACAAGAGTGCCCCACAAGAGTGTCCCACAAGAGTGTCCCACAAGAGCGCCCCGTAAGAGTGGCCCACAAGAGTGTCCTACAAGAGTGTCCCACAAGAGTGTCCTACAAGAGTGTCCCGCAAGAGTGTCCTACAAGAGTGTCC